AATGGGAAGAGCAGGCTGCGTCCAGTCCACCTGCTCTGAAGGTGGTGGGGAGAGGTCAGTGGACCTGGGGAACCCCTCCTCCTGTGTCCCCTACTCTGGCCATCTGTGGGCTCAGGCTGTCTCATGTCTTCCCGTGGTCCCATGGCCCCTCGTCCATCATTTTTCTTTTTAAAATTTTGTTACACGGCCTGTGTGCTCATGAGAGAGAGAGGGAAGGTGAGAAACCACCCCCCAGGGGATGGCTACACTGCAATCTTTCTCCTCCATTTTCTTCTTGGGATATTGCACACACACGCATATGGGCCTGGCGTGTTTCTCAAGCTGCTGGGTCCGGGGCTCGAACTGCAGTTGGCTGTGTGGGATCCAGCTGCCTTAGCCACCACGCCACCTGCTGGCCCCTGGTGGTTCTTCTTAGAGTAGGTGGAGAGGGGTGCTATGAAGGCCTCCCACAAAGCAAAGGGGAAGTGGAGTCGAGTCCGATGAGAGGCTTTTCCTCACAGCCTGGAAATTCCAGGACCTGGCTCTGCCCTGCGCCCCCGCTGTGGCATTCTGGGACCTGGGCCTGTCCCCTGGAAGGCTGTGCATCTTCTGAGGGCTGCCAGCCCCTGGCAGGCTCCGAGGTGGTGAGGTGGTGAGCGAGACTCTCAGCCCCTAGGTGGAGGCGCACTGTGAGGCGCCCGCATCCCGGCCGGTCACCCCCTTGTGCTTCCAAGGGTTGAGGGCCTTGCTCAGATGAGGCAGGATGCGGAGGGAGGGTGTGAACAGGCTGTGGCTGACACCCAGTGCTCTGAATCCTGGGCTATATTAAGCCTGCAGACCCCCTGGCTGATTGGCTGGGGCGGGAGGAGGCTTCGTGGGGGACTTGCTTGTGGTTGGGGCTGCCCCCCGCATATCAAGCGATGGGAAAGGGTAGTGCTGACGTCAGTTATTGCCATGGCGATACAGCAACCCTTTCCCTGTCGTCTCCATGGTAACCTGGGGGTCCATCTGTACTTCGCCCCCTCCTTCTAAAAGGGGGCCTAGGGAGGGGCAGGCGGCTAATAAGGAGTATGAGAGAGAAGTGCGGGGAGGAGCGGGGAGGTCCAAGCACCCGCTCCCCTCCTTCCTGTTCCTCAGCCCCAGGGGATGAGGCTGGGATCTGGGGTCCCGCACAGGTGTCTTGCACGGGGGTGGGGCAACTTTACCCGGCCTGGGGATTCCCTGGAAACGCCCTGTCCCCTCCCTCAAGTTCTGTCTCTTGAGCAGAACGCCGGGGAGTTGGCAGAGAGGCTAGAGGGTTCCCCAGCCTCCAGGGCTGGGAGCAGGCCCTGGCGACAGCGTCCTCCTCTGCATGTGGCCCCGGGCAGGAGCAGCGAGCAGCAGCCTCTTTCCCAGGGGCCTGTGCCTGGGTCCCTCCTGGTTCACACCGTGACCTTACTGACGCAGCCCGGTAGGTGTCGCTACAGGCCTGGAATGGGAGGCCCAGCCAGGCTAAGGAACCGGCCTGAGGTTGCACTGCCGAAGGCAGAATCCGCGCTCGAACTCAGAACCAGCTCCTCCAGAGGGAAAAAGGACGGGAGAAGGGAAGAGTACAGGAACGAGATGACTCAGGTGGGAGCCTGACGTCCCCTGACTGCCGTCGGAGCAAAGTCCCGACTCCGGAAGGCTGTGAGCCCGCCTCTCCGCTGGGAGCCCGGCCTGGCTCCCCGACGAGCTCTATGAGGAGGGGAGCCTGTGTTCTCAGCCCGGAGCCGGAGCCGGTGAAAACTGAACTGAACTTGAACTTACCTCCTGGAGCACCCTCCCCTGCTCGGGGCAGCCTAGAGTTAACCAGCTCCAGGTTTTGACCCTTTGGCAACGTCCCTATCCAAATCCGAACAGTCCTCCTAAGCCAGCCAAGTACACAGTGACAGTAAATGTTTTTCTTTTTTTTTTTTTTTGCTCACCAGAGAGACAGAGGTGAAAGAACTCACACCCTCTCCACATCCCCGGGGCATGGCTGGCCTCGCTGCTATTCCTTCTTCATTCTCCTCTCGGGATGTTGGACACATACGCATGCGCACCCGGCGTGTCCTTCCACCTGCTGGGTTCAGGACTCAAACCGCAAACTTGGTCATGTGGGAGCCAACCCCCTTAACCCCTGCGCCACCTGCTGGCCTCTGGCTTTGCTTTTTTTGGGGGGAGAGGTTTTTGCTATAGGCCGTGTGCTCGCCAGAAAGACAGAGAGACAAAGTGAGAAATCACCCCCCAAGGGGGATGGCCAGGCCGCAATCCCTTCTCCATTCTCTCAAGATCCTGCTGGGCACACATGCACACGTGCCCGGCGTGAGTGTAAGCCACCGGGTCCAGGACTCAAACTGCAGTTGACTACATGGGAGTCCAGCGACACAGCCATTGCATCAACTACTGGTCCCTATTTATTTTAATTTAATTTTTTATTTTATTTTATTTTTTTGGAAAGATTTTTGCTATAGGGTGTGTGCGCTCGCCAGAAAGAAACAGAGAGACAGAAAGTGAGAAATCACTCCTGGGGGGAGGGGCGATGGCCACACTGCAATCCCTTTTCCTCCATTCTTCTCTTGGGATCTTGGGCACGCACACCCAGCGTGAGTGTAAGCCACCGGTTCCAGAACTCGAACCGCGGTCGACTACATGGGAGTCCAGCAATATAGCCATTATGCCTAACTGCTGGTCCTGTTTTATTTTTTTAAAAATAAGGTTTTTTTTGTTTGTTTTTTTTTTAGTAGATTTGAACCATGATCAGCCATATGGGAGTCTAGCACCTCAACCACCATGCCATCTAGCCCCTATTTATTTTAAACTTTTGCTATAGGACATGTGTGCTTGCTGAAGAGAGACAGAAGACAGAAAACGAGGGACCAGCAGATGGCATAATGGTTAGGTCGCTGGGCTCCCACATAGTTGACCATGGTTTGAGTCCTGGACCTGGCGGCTTGAAACTCATGCCGGGCATGTGTGTTTGTGTGCTCAAAATCCTGAGGGGAATGGAAGAGAAGGGATTGTGGCGTGGCCGTCCCCCTGGGGGGTGGTTTCTCTTTGTGGTGTGCCACTGTCCCTCTCTCAGGGTGGTATACTCACACATGTGCCTGGTGCATTTTTCAAGCCGCCAGCTCCCCAAGTCGGCCATGTGACCTCTGGCTGCCTTAACCCCCTCCACACCCACAGGCCACCTCCTGGTCCCTCAGAGCACGTTCCTTCACCTGAAGAATAGGAACAACTTCTTCTCCGGTCTTTTTGTGCTCCCACCAGTCCTGGGAGAAACCAAGGAGAAAGACAGACGGCCATGGCCCAGCTGGGGCAGTTCAAGCCAACCCAGCACAGAGCTGAAGCCATAGGCTTAGGGCAGGCTGGATGCCCAGCACGAATCCGGCAGCTGGAAGACCCGGGAAAGGGATGGCAGTGGGAGAGGACCCAGTTCAGGGTGCTTCTCTGGCTCCCACCCATGTTCTTTCCATCAGGGAGGAACAAAACAACCTGAAAGATGGATGGACTGGGGCAGCCCCTTGTCCCTCCAAGAAAGCCCAGTGCACCCAGGCAGCAAAAACAATCGCAGACAGAATGATGCGGCGGGGAGAGGGAGAATTCGGAGTTCTGTCGGTTCAGTCCACCTCCTCCAATTCCGAGCTCCCGTGGGTCGCCAGCGCCCCGCACACAGTGACGTGAATTTCTGGAGAGCCAGGGACAGCGACAGGGAGATGGACAAAGGGGGAAGCCACGGACGAAGGCTGCCGGGAAGGGGTCAGGACCAGCCAGAGACCGTGGGCGGGAAGGTGCGGCGGTGCTGCCGAGCAAGAGCAGGCGGCTGACGGAGAGGAGAGCTGTGGCTGGAGGGGTCGCAGCAGCTGCTGGGCCCGATCCGACGACAGACACACACGGCCAGCCCGGAGTGGAAAGAACAGTTTATGCTGTGCTTTATTAAAATGTGCATCATTTCTTTTATTTTAAAATGTGCATCATTGTCTCGTGCTCGGCGCGTGCGACCTCAGCGTGGTGGCCCGCGGGGGCCTGGTCCTCGCCCGGCTGCGGCGGCGGCCGTGCGCAGGCGCAGGCGCACTCAGGTGGCGCGGGCCCGGGGGCTCCCGCCCATGGCCAGGTAGACGTCGATGGGGACGTGCAGCAGCGT